CTACCATGTAATCAGCCAGCAGGTGAAGCCTTCCACTCAACTCGGCATGGGCGAGCCCCTCATTAGAGGTCCTGCCTGTGTGGAGTTTGGATCTACTCATTTTGAAAGGGATTTAAATAAGCTAGAGAGAAAAGAACAAAAAAAAAGAATTCAAAAGTGAGAAAAATACTCTAGAGGTTAAAGGAAATAAACTTCTAGAGTCTGCATCAGAGGTGCAGCAGATGATTTAACAGCTGTCATACCTGATCGCACCCCAGAAAATGCATCTGAACTCGTGTTAAAAAGAACTGCTTTTGGATCAGCCAACTACCTGAGTGATCTTAGGCAAGGCAGTTCTCCAAGCTTCAAATTATGCTTAGCACACAAGATTATGCTGAGAAACAAATGGGAATGGCCTTTATAAACATAAGTAACACCTTAAGAATAAGGAATTACTGTGAAGAAGAGGACAAAGGCCAGTTCTTTCTCTCGCTCTAAGTTCGGACATGGTAGGATATAATGGGAAGAAAATACTTAGGTTAACTGAAAATATTTGGGTTCTAAGAATGATTAAACATGGAAACGAGCTACAAGAGGAGACCAGGGGCTCTTCATTCCTAGATTCCTTTTGATAGAGGAAATATCTTTCTTTGAATGTTTAAATAATTGTCCTTCTAGAAATAAAAGGAATATTATCACCTGGCATTTAAATTCTACTTTTCCTCCAGAAAAGGATTTTTAAATTATCTCATTTTCAGTGACTCTTAATTACAACTCTGTAATTCTCTGAATTATATGTACTGTTCAGTATGAGAAAAAATTTCAGAGTTGAGTATGGAAATGTCTTCTACAGCAGTATCTGCTGATATAAAAGCATCCTGGGAACAGAAGCTGGTCTCCATCATTGTATGCCCCACAGCATCAGCCCCTTACTCAGTGAGTAAATAACTGAGGAAAAATGAGACTCAACTGACAGTGACCAATTTCCTAAGGAATTCCAGTGTATATGATAATAAAAACAGTATTTAACATTTATTGAGCACTTTACACACACTAACTTATGTAATTCTCACCATAGCCCTCTGAGGTAGGTATTATTATTACCACAATTTGTAGGAAAATGAGATCAAGAAGTTAAATAGCTCGCCCAAGGTCACAGAGCTAGTAAGGAACAGTGGCAGGATATCAACTCAGAAGTTGGACTCCAAAGATAATCCCCAAAACCGTGGAAGCATTGAGAAAACAGGCCAAATATCCTAAGAAACCATTTTGGTGCCTCACTTAAAGAACCCACAGACTGTATGGCTGTAAATTAGTGCAGCCGTTCTGGAAAACAGTATGGAGGTTCCTCAAACAATTACAGATAGAACTGCCATATGATCCAGCAATCTCACTGCTGGGAATGTATCCAAAGGAATGGAAATCATCATGTCAGAGGGATACCTGCACTTCCATGTTTATTGCAGCTCTATTTACGGTAGCCAAGATATAGAATCAACCTCCATGTCCACCTACAGATGACTGGATAAGGAAAATGTGGTATACATACTCAATAGAATACTAGTTTACTATAAAAAAGAATGAAATACCATTTGCAGCAACATGGATAAACTTAGAGAAAGTGATGTTAAGTGAAATAAGCCAGGCACAGAAAGAGAAATACTGCATGTCCTCACTCATAAGTGGGGGAAGGGGCCGACCCCCTGGCTCACTCGGGAGAGTGCGGTGCTTGGGTGCGCAGCGGCGCTCCCACCGCGGGTTCGGATCCTATATAGGGATGGCCGGTGCACTCACTGGCTGAGCGCCGTGCGGGCGACACCAAGCCAAGGGTTGCGATCCCCTTACCGGTCACAAAAATAAATAAATAAATAAATAAATAAATAAATAAATAAATAAGGGGGGGAAGAATGAAAGAAAGAGAAAAAAGAATCATAATACATTGAACTCTCAAAAAAAAAGAAAAAAGAGAACAGAACTCTGGTTATTAGAGGTGGAAAAGGGGAAGGGGGAGTGGGTTAGCAAGAAATTAGTGAAAGGTCACAAAGATTGATTATGTTTTATAAACATGAGTATACTAATTACCCTGATATGACACCTACATATTGCACACATGTATTGATATGTAAATCTGTACCCCACAAACATATAGTCAATTAAATAAAATTCCACAGCCGAAAATTAATAAAGGACCCACATGTGTTAAATATCTAAACAGGTGCTAAAGCAAAATCCCTAACAGTGAGAAGAGGGGACACAAAAATTAGATGCATTTTATGAAACTCTTACTGAACACTGACTAGTAATGTTAGGAAGGATTTTTTTTGGCCCTAAAAAAAAAAATCAACCTAATAATCAGCAGTACTTATGCAGACAGCTGTATCCATCACCTGATTCTTTAGTCTTTGCACTCTAATGATGTCTATCAATAAAGGGGTGTGTGTGTGCCTGAGTGTGTATGGCACCTTGTTCATCCTATTAGGGCTGACTACAAGGAAGAAAGGAGTAGCAGGCAAACCAGCCATGCAATAAGACTGGAACTTGGGCAAAACAGACTCTTGTAGGTCTTGTGAATAATTTAGCCAAGTGGTCATTCATATAAAATCCACTTGTAAAGCTGTACTGTCACCTCTTCTTTAAACTTTCGCTTGACAATTTTCTCCTTCCAAAAGGAAACTACTATCCCCCAAATTCCCTCCGTAGTGAAAAGTGAACAGTCTTGTAAAAAGAGAAAGCCAAATCATAATTCTTCAAAACTGATTTTGTTGGAGTCTGAAAGAACTATTGCCCTACAGAACTTTTGGCATAAACAGACACTCTGAGAACAGCCAAATAATTGTATAAAATGAAATGGCACCGCTCCAGCCAAAGTCCCAAGCAGGAGGAGGAAGGTGGAAGCCATTTGTAACAATTTCAGCTGGGGGAAAAAGCTTCACTAGGAAGCCAAAAGAGGAAGCTGTAAACTATTTACACGGGTCTGAGAAAACAGACAGATTGATGCTTTTTCTGTTTTTTGTTTTATTTTGTTTTGTTTTTCTGGGACCAGCTAGGCAGATTTTACAATGGGGAGACAGGAGATCCTCCCGTGGTAATTTAGCACAAGGACATTACTTGTAGGAAATGTTATGGTGGCTTAGCATGTGTTTTCCACACCTCACTTTGTTTTGTAAATTGGAGTCTTGATACATCTGTACAAAAAGACAAATAACTGCGTTAGTGCCTGAAAGGCAAGCTATTATGAGCAGTTGAGGGGGAAAAAAATCTCAATTAGGACAGGAGCATCAGAGTCTGATAAAAGAAACACCAAATCAGCCTCTCCCCAGTAAGCCAAGGCCGTTTTCTCGGATCGACCTCTCCACACCAATTGAAGGTACCAGCAGTTAAAATCTGTAATGAAACCAGAGCTCTAGGGCCCTCCACTTATCCGCCACCAAGAAGAAAAGAAAACAAAGCAAAAATAAAAGACACCTAGTGAGCTCCTCGGGCCCATATGTTCTGGCAGAAGTGGAACTCACACGCTCTGCTCGAAACCGGATTATCGAATTATCCTGCCTCACTAGTTAAACACTAGACAAGGGGCCTGGCCAGGGAAGGCGGGCTTAAAAAAAAAAAAAAAAAAAAAAAAGACATTACAGCCCTAGGAGCCACCTCTTTTCCCGGCGCCCTCTAGGTCATTGCAGCTGTACTCGTACACAGCAGAAACTCCAAACCTGTCCTAACAGCTGTCCAGGTGAAATTAGAATCAGGACTGCTGCCTCTCTCCACCGGCCTCCGCAAACACAGGAGGGAACGGGGGGCGGGGGCGACCACTCCAACAACTGATGCTCGACTACATGACTCGAGAGGGGATGGGAGGGGCGGGAGCACTAAGAACTAAGTGTGGTCAGGAATCCGTGACAATGGTGGCACCAGCGTCAGGTCAAAGGAGACGCAATCTGAGCGTCTGGCCGATCAGTCCAGGTGCGCACAGGCGAGCGCCGGAGCTCGGGCAGAAGTGGGGGGGCCTGGCTCTGGGAGGCTCCTGGTCCCCCGCCCCCGGCCCTCACCTTTCTGCTGTAGGTATTGCATCTGATGCCGCTGGCTCGGTCGCTCCTGCAGCTCCTGCAGCACGCGGGAGTCGCCGGCGCCGCCGCGGCCGCCCAGGAACACATCGGAGCCGGAGGCCTCGGTGGAGCTGTCGAGGCTGTCGCGGCGCGGCTGGCGACCCCCGGGCCCTCG